ATATTATAATAGTCAATCAAAAACAAAGCCTATTTGACAACAATTCTAACATATGCTTTTATTCGTAACTAACAGCTGATAAACTTTTGAAAATATATGGGTGCAAAACGGACCTCTGGATATAAATTGAACCTTTTCAACGTATTGATCGTATGACCATATTCCGTGATGTTGTCATGGGTTATCTGATGAATACCAATCCAGTATGTTGGTGCATTTGCCAACGTCTTATAGTATGAGTAATATAAACCCTAGAAAAATCAGTTGCAACATCGTTTGTGTCTAATTCTCTTTTGGTAAAATCGATCTCCCATGTGCCCCTTAAACTGGTTTCCAATAATGGTTTGCAACTTACGGCAAGAGTGATAGAAACGTAGCCGTCTGGTTTCAAAAGTTTTAAAATTTAGACAAATCGCAAAAAAAAGATTTTAGCAGTAGAAATTACACAAATTTTATTCTTACCTTACTAATTAGAAAAGCTGAAAAAAGAAATGCAAAAATATCTTATTTTAAGAAACTGTTTATTCTCATTTTTGCTGAAATACTTTAAACTTAACACAACAGTCACGTGAAACCACAGTAGTCCAGAAACCATTTTTTTTCACCACAAGATTTTGTCTGTTTTCAACAAAAGTTTTTGATTTCACACACTGCTCACTTTTCTTTCTATAAAGGTCTATTAACGCAGAAAGCAGTTATAAGTGGGCAAAAAAAGTATTTTTTTTTTACAAATTTTGCCTTATTGAAAAATGAAAAAAAAAACACTTGTGAGAACCAGAATTCCAAATATTCTAAGTGCATTTATTAAGGCTTGAATAGAACACTTCAACACTGGCACCATAACAGTCTGTGAAGATGTTAATGTAAAAAAACTTAAAGTATGCTGGGAAGAAAGCAATTTTATGACACCATAATCGGAGTAAACAACATTTTCGTTCAAACAGTTTATGAAATGCATCATTAAAAGATCAGTTCCATTTTTTTGATCTTTCCTTTCATCACCACCATCACCACCGACAACAACAGCATTTGTATAACTGTTGTTGTCCTTCTTCAATAATTTATGTTAATTTAACATAAAAAATGTTGTTTTACTCTTTTCTTTTTTCTTTGGCTTAAAAATTTTTGCCACTTAGGCTACACTGTTAGGCTAAAACTAAAAGTTCTTTTGATGCATGAAATCCCAGCATTTTTTCTTTGCTCATTTTTAACATTCAGTCGATGATATCATTTTATATTACCTTTGTTTACCAGAAGAACAGTTTTGTTTCGATGGAAAAACTGCAACATCAACAACAACAACAACAAGAATAGAATTAACTGGAGTATACAGGAGATTATCCTTCTCGCAAAACTGTACGTTCAGCAATCGTTAAATTAGTTGGTTTTATTTCTTCTTCTTTTCTATTTCAATTTATGTTTTCCAATTCATTAAATAGCTTTCAAATTACATGGTAACCAAAGCAAAAACGAAAATAATTGTAATAAATTCAATTTTTTTTTAAAATCAACTCCAAAATTGATCCTCAATAAAATGATGGTGCCTCTCTAATATCCAATTCGTTATCCACTGCTTCTACAAATAGTTAAACGTTAATTATCTGTTGCCCTGAACTACAGTGACAATAAAATTTTTCTGATCTCATTCGGTTATGTTTGATTTGCCGTTTTATAAATAACTGTTTAGTGTTTATTCAGGAAATTCTGAAAGTCCAAAAGTTTTGAAAGAATTTTGAAAACTACAAAAACAGAGCTATTGTAAGCGCTCAAAAACAGATTTCTGAAATCATTTCTATGACATTGTTTAAATGTATATTTTACTGTCGTCCGTCACAAAAAAAAGTGACATCGACCTGCAACAGTAACTGCAAATATTCGGTTAAGCGTTTACCGTTTAGTGATTGGCAGCTTTACAGTGTTCATACAAAACTGTTCCCTCTTTACAACGTCATCTTAAAAGTTGGTCAGTAACTACGTCGTCAACAACTGTACAAAACAGCGATGATTAATGCTATCTGTTTATTTGTCACGTATAATTTGTGAGTAAAAATAAGGTTCTAGATTCAAACCTCAATGATACATTTGGTGAGTAATCTAGAATAATCCAATGACCTTCTATAAATTCAGTACACAAAAAAAAAAAAAAAAAAAAAAAAAAAAAAAAA